TTCTCAAAGACTTCATCGTTATGTTTTTGAATGAACACGATGAACAACTGAACACTGACCGGTTGTAGGTGCATATAGCCCCGACGACGACCTCAATGATTCCGACCAAAGGCATGGTAATAACTAATAACCAAAGCGAGAAATCCGTTTGGAGATTTACTGGTCGGATGGCTTGATCTGGGGGTGACACCAGGATCACCAGTGAAAATATTGTTTTTCGTATTGTTAAGTATATTCTATACCTATGCACTTTGCATTTGAATGAAATGTTCAATTTTTATAGCTAATAAAGTAATAACTAGTAAGGTTATATCGTCAGAAGACAGCATTTAAATTGATTATCAACATAGGTAATGTCATTGACATTTTAATGTGCTGAAATAATGCAATCCTAAGTAAATTATGACTTGTAATTACATTTTGACCAGTATCAAATCTGAGTGTACTGCTGTAGATCCGTAGTTGTGTACTTGTGTAGAGAATAATAAAATACCCAGTATCTATAAATAATATATTTTATTCTTCACGAAGTAAAAGGAATTATATAGAAAAATAATATACCTGATTAATTATACGAAATAAATTAAAATAATATGATATATTACTAGATTAGATATCTACCTAATTCTTTGATGTAAACAGGCAATAAAAATATAGGACATTGTATTTTATATTTTTCTAAGTTTAAAGACATGTTTAATTAAAGTATTTTTTCCTTTATTAATTCTGAAATATGACATTTTCGGTCAAAGCCACTTTTATTTTAAAAATGGTAAAAATTTTATTTGAGCCATTTGAGTCATGTTTGCTACATTTATGTATTCAAAAAATATTGTTTACAACATTGCAATAATATTGTTCTTTTAATTTTAATTTTAGAATTCATGTATAATATGGAATAAAATTAAGGAGACATTTTTTTACAATTACTGTTTATATATAAAAAAAATTTCCATTAAGATTTTTTTTATCAGTTATCACTACATCAATCCGTAAATTTGGTTTTTTTACAATTATTATTTTGAATACAAGTTTTGTATTTTAATGAGATGAATGTGATGTCAATTATACAATGCCTGATGTATAGATAAACTCTTATACATATAAGATAAATAAAATACATTACGTATTAAATTTCAGGCGAGAATCATTAATCATTGATTATTTTGTTGGATATAATATTATGTAGTATTAATATTAATAATAATTAGTATTTTACAGTAAAATAATTAATTTTGTTGAGCGCAATATTTATTTATTTATAACTAGTACCAAGATTCAAATGACCTTAAACTATCAATAATAACCAAAAATGCCTCAAATTAATGTCTTTAGATGATCATAATAATATACTATAAATTGACTTAAATTTTAAAATTTTTAATTTTACTACAAAAATTAATTTAATATATATTTTATAGTAAAAAATTAAAATGATTCAAAAGTCAGGAATAGTTTTTATCAATAAATAACATACTCTTAGCGCTAGTTCCAAACGTACAAAAATATAAAAATAAGATTATGTTAAATTCTACATTCAACTACCTATTTATTTATAAACAAACATGCTAAATGATGAGAATTGTATTAAACCTATAGTAAAATTGCTTGATATAATATTTTGAATTACTTAATTTTGTACTAAGAAATTAAAAAAATATATATAAATTATAGAACTGATTTAAAAATATAAAATAAATATTTGAATTTTTAAATGTCTGTTACTTAAATAGAGTTATATACTTGAAATATGCATTGTTGTATAGCATCATCTAAAAAATACACTTTACATATTATATTGACTTTTGGCTTTAAATTAAAAATATTAATTAAAAATTAATCAACTTAAAAATACTTATAGCATATAATTATATATTTAGCATATATTTATATATTTTGCTAATTATAGCAAAATTATACAAATCTTATTATATGTACAATAAATTCATTCATTATTCAAAAACTTAATTAATTTGGTTCTAGCATTTTTTTTTTTTTTTTTTTGTCAATCATGAAAATTGAAATCAAATTATAATTATTATTAACTATCAAAAAAAAAAAAAAATCATTTATTATCATTTTAAATAGGAACTAAAACAATTATATTATTTTCCTTTAGTTTTCATTGTATGCTAATTATTAATGGGCTTTAAATTGTAATTAATTTTTCTGATGCTTTTAATTAAATAGTTCTATTAAAATGTCTTCGTTTATTCGGTATTAAGTCGTTGTTGGGTATTTTTATTGTCAGTCGAATTCAATTTGCATAAACATCTAATGATGCGGACGAATGGTTTGATTTAATTTTCACTTATTAATTACTACTATTAAAAGTTTAAATATCATAGAATAAACTATCTATCACTCGTTAATTACTGACACAATAATATTTAATATTATAAATGATAACTGATAACGCACATTTTATTTCTATTTTCCTTTACGATCATAATTTTTAGTTATAATAATGTTCAAATGTTATGCAATGATAAATATTGCAGCGTTCATATACAAATTGGATGACTAAGAAATATAGAGTCTTTCATGTGTTGTGAGACAAAATTAGTAAATTGATAGAAATCAATATTTTAAATGGCCTAAAGTTTGTCTAGAATTTATTTTTAATCTAATTTACAATTGATAATTTGTTTTACTTAATACTATAGTCTATAATATATAATAAATTGAACTTTAATTTTTCTTCGGATTTTCAAATGTTTGTTTTTTTAAATTAAAATTATTATTATAGATTTGCTGCTCCATCTAGTACAGAAAATAGCGCTACTTTACTTAACATTCTAAATAAAAATAATTTAACATAATATTATATTATTTATTATATTGAAATACATTTTAATCGAGTACAAATACAATACTGTGCATTGTATTTTAGTTATTTTACATACAAAAAACATTATTTATTACTAAAAAAATAATGTAAGTTTTTTTATACGTACATTAATTATTATTATTATAAGGAAGCATTTTATTGATTTCTGATCGTATCAGATTCTGAAACAATAAAATTAATTCTTTTGTAAATAATCAAATTTAGGCTATTTGAAAAGCCATAAATCAGTTTAAATGTTTTTGTATATTATTATAATATGCATCAATGATATTAGTTTCTATTTATAACTAAAATATTATGGTGTATTATAATACATATTTTTACAAAGTAATGAGTTTTATCGTATTAGTTTTTTTTTTTCGATAAATTTAAAAAAATATTAATTTAATAATAATAAGTTGTTGATTGATTGTTTTTTTGTTATTTTTTTATTACTTTTCGTGTTTAGTTTCGAAAACATTAATATTTTATTCTAAGAAGATACTATAATTTCGATAAATATAGAACATCGATTTTAAGATGAAAGAGTTTTTTGACACATTGACAAAATTTATTTAGTGATATCTCTATGACGATTATAATATCATTCATTACATTTAAAAAAAATAATACGAAGATTTGGCAACATTTTAATACAATATACAATATTACATTAGTAGAAGTGTATAATACTGTAACGTATAAAATATGTTACGATTACCATTAACAAAAAAGTTGTATACAATAATGGGAAAAATAGACATATTAACCTACGTGTCTTTCTCCCTTATCACTATTTATACATATTTTGAATATCGTTTTTTTTAGCAAATATTTAGTATGTAATTAGAAAGTATTTGCATTACGTATCATGAATTTTATTTAACATAATAATGACGATCTTGTCGAACACAATTTAACCATAGACCATAAAAAGTACATACTATTAAAAGCAAATTGTGTATAAATATTTTTTAAATATATTTCTAACTTAAACCATTAGAAAGCTGAACATTAACGAGTTAACAAGCTCGAGTTATTAAATTTTTAATCATGGATTTGATTTTTGATGTTTCCGGTTAATTATGAAAAATTTAAATAATAACTTAATAGTAAAATGGAGCAAAAAAATAATTTTAAATTTTAAATTACAAATGATGAATAATATTTATAAAATTGTGAATAATAATAAATCAAAATCAGTCAGTATTTATATTTAACAGAAATGTTTGGCAATAACACCAATTAATTCATAATTATTTACAGTTTTATTATATTATTTGTTTATTTGATCTTCAAATTTCAATCAATCGATTTTTTATTGATCATCCAGTTTTCAATACTTATATAATATAGTTTCTATATTGTGAAACTATTAGGTTAATAACTGGTTAGATTATTTATGTATTAACACTATTAACTATTATTGATACATAATATTTTATTTCATAATTTTTAATTTTATTCATATTTGACTGTTAACAGTGATATAAGAATATTTTATTTGTTTAAGAAATATAAGTAATCTAAATCAATAAATAGGTTAAACAAAGTGTCTTTTGTTCAAATTATTTAAACGTTTCTTACCTGTTTTGATATCGGAAATTCTTTTCAATATTTTTTTTTGAGGATGCAATTGACCATGCAATACCATTCAATACAATCAAATAAGTACTATATTACCTGTATAATTGAAAATGTTTTCTTCCTTATAATTAATATAAGTGTTAATGTATTAAACATATTAATACATTAATAGTTTGTTATAAATAATTGAAAAACAACATTAAATTTGTTAAAAAGATATAAATTCAAATTATTTTCAAAAAATACTTATTTTTTTATAGTTCCTTTGAAAACTTTTCACTAAAAAAAATAAACTATAATTTAAATATTTAATAAAAACAAATATAAAATTATTTGAAAAGACAAATACTGCTACATTTACAGAGACTTGTTTCCCTTTAATTGACGTTTGAACCAAAATCTGATGTAAGTATTAGCGTGCAGAATATTTCGCATATTAATTAGTTTCTATTTAAGTTATTAGGCCATATTACTGCACTCCATAGCTATATATTATAATACACTCGATACACAATACATCGCGTAAGAATATTTTAATATTGTACGATACCAATAGAAACAGTAACAATAATCGCAACGCACTTTAAGAGTCTACAGTTTTATCCACGTCTACGAAACCGAATACATAGAACTGTCGGAGCACCGAATGGCCTACGTGCACATTGAATTTTGCTGCGTAAACGCGACGCTTAGAGGCAATCAAGGCAGTGGCTGTTCGGCCATAATCATTCCGAACAAAATCTCGACTCAGTTTGGCTAACTCTGTCCTAAAACCGCCATCAGGTGATTTGAAAAAATCCTCTTCGGCTCCACCCGGAGACCTTAACAGCTCTTCGGTGCTCTCGAAAGGTGATTCTAACAACTCTTCATCATCACAACCGCCGCCACCGCCGTTTTCGTCTAGTTGTCGGTTGTGCCGAGGAAGTGTTAAAGTTACCTGAACGTATCGTGACTCATTCGGGTCCAAACGAAACCACAGTGGCCTACCGCCGTTTCCTAGGTCAAACGCACTTTTTTCAGTGTTCGCAGATTCTACGACCCATTCCTCTCCTTCGAACTGCGACGCCATCGCCACACGCCGCTCCGGGTCTACCCGCTCCGCCACTCGGAGCTTTTCCACAAACTCGTACACCTCGTCATCGGTTATAGACTCCGATCGCTCCCTCGTCCATTCCATTTGCAAGTTGAACCGGACGTTCGTTCCACTTGTGTTCGTTACCTATACGTATGTATGTACAATCTATTATCAAAGTATTGATTAAAAATGTTGAATTTGTTTTAATATGCTAGAATAATAGCTATAGTCAGCTCAAATTAGTGGCGTGCGCAGGGTTTGAGTTAGAGCTTTCACTATAGATTGAACATAGGCTCAACGACATCGATGCACGCCAGCCAACAATAATTACTCGGAAAATAAGCGCTTTGTTCGCGTGTTTGTGCGTATTTTGTATGACGTTGAACATGTCATCGGGCGTGATTGTACACGACGGTCCGAGACCGCTACCGGACACCATGACATGAAGCCGCATCGTTTCAGAACTCACCTCTAACGTTTCGTTTACCTTTTCAAAAATACAAAAGCGTGTTGTAAGTACACGTGAAATGGAACGAATTTTCGGGTCATAATATGTGGGCGTACGTTTTAGTATATAATAATATTATATACATGGCGTATTAAGAAGGTTTGAAGATTTTACATTACAGTGATACACTGTTGAATGTTATGTATTATGTTGGTGACAATGCAAATGAATAATGTATTGTATTAAATTATATTTGTGTAATATAATATTTCATACATATAGTATCCGATAAATAGTATTCAATTCATTTTAATGTCTTATATTCCTCGATAATTTTTATAAAATACCAACTAGTATACTATTTGATGATGCCTAATATTTATTATGTATATTGAAGTATATTATGTGAACGATTTAAACTGTGATGAGTTTTATAAGTACTCAAGAAGTTATTTTTTTAACTATTTTATTGATGTACGCTCTATTACTCCAAGAAATTGAAAATCCTGAATATTTTGGCGATTGGTTGTAGTCCATACACATTACCGCGAGTAATAAATAATTAAAACAAAAAAATTTTAAATAAGCCATACATTTAAGTCCCTCGCATCATAAGTATTATTGTTGGGTAGTTTCTTAAAATCATGTAAATTCTTATGAAAAAAACATATAATATATACTGCAAAAATGCGTATTGTAAAATTACCTTTACAGATTGTATATTTTCTAAATAAATGTTAAAAAAAAATAATAATTTATTAATATATTCTTGAAGTGAGTCAATTTAAGAAACTGTAGGTTATATAATTATACTGGATAAATTAATACATTTTTGTGAAAGTTTTCAACTATACGTGTATTGAGATCGAAAAAAAAAATGCTTCACATCAAATTTTAGCTCATACCTATATTATATTATATTTTCAGATGAAATTTTTAATGATTAAATTTTAATAGTTTTTAGAAAAAAACGGTTCAATTTAGGATATTGCATAATATGCCTTGTCAACATACTTATATTATACGGATTTATTTTAAATTTGAGCCCTGACAGTAACTACTTATTTAAAAGACGCAAGAATTGGACCTATATTATTTTTATTTACATAAAATCCGGGCAATAGATCCGCTTGTTTATATTTCATACTTATTAGTCATTTTTTTTATTAGATTTTTTTATTTTGAAAAAAATATTTTTGTGTAGTTTGAAAAGTATTTTTTTATAACACAAGCTATTTAATTTAGTTTTCAATAAAGAACTTTTATTTTTTATTTTACCTTATGAAACACCTTAATACATTGATTTTTTTAACATATCTAAAAATATTGGAGTATAAATATTAAATAAATGTCCAATAGTACATTACCAATACATTAAAAAAAAAAAATTATATATTCAATATAGGTATATACGTAATAGGCTACAGGTTAAAATTATAATAGAATACTGATAGTTGATGTTAATAAATAATTATCAGTTATTTAAATTTTTAATATAAAAATACCCAAAATATTCTTTTGATTTTTGATTTATGAATTGTACAAAACATACAGCAGGAATGATTTTCATTGTATCAAACATCAGAGAAAAAAATGTTTTGTTGGTTTCAAATATTTTGATTTGTTCATGAAAAAATGGTTTATTCGTGTAAACCTGTTGAATATACCAATAATTATTAAATTTATTTCTAATGATACTACGAGTTTGCGAAAGTACATATATTACATACAGGTATTTAAGAACAAATAATTCAGACCATTTATACTAACTTGATTTATGAAAGCATTTTTGTCCTTCAAAATTTGATCGACCTTTAACTTCATTACTTCAGAATTTAGGCACTCTTCATAAATACTTTGGACCTCATCATCAAATTTTGGTCGAAATAATACATTAATAGTAATGACCTAAATATAAAATAATAACCGTCATAAATATAAAAATAATTTTTTTTTTAATTATTAACTTCTTTTGAATGTAGTATTCCGTTTCTTGGCTTAAATTCTATTGTAGAATCATTGGAGATAAACTCAAATCTAATTTTGAAATCCGGAAATGCATTAATGTTACGTTCAGTTATAGATGCCAAATTCGATGCTCTTGAATTTTATAATGATTATAAATCATGAAAAATAATCTCAACATAATTTTTTTTTTTATCTGTTAATTTCACAATAACGAGTAAAATAGACATACAGTATAAAATTATTTACCTCAAATCGATTTTGAAAACTGAATAAGACATTAAATGAGTTTTTCCAAATATAATTTTTTGGACAGAAAGTTCTACAGGTACATCATGAATTTTTGCATGGCATCTTAGAGTAGCTTCTTTTAGGATAGCATTTTTGTCGTCAAATGTACACACCTCAATCTTATCGTTTAATATCGAAAATTGAATTCTGTTTCGAATTAGTTTAAATCAATTGTTGAAAATTAATACACTTAAAATTATTAACTTATCTGCTCCGTGATTTAATTCTTTTATCTCGTTTTCACCGACTGCTGACTTTTCGTTTAAAATAACTGTACTTGATATTTGTTCATTTATTACTTCATTAATTGTTTCATAAGTCTAAAAGAAAAATGTGTTAAACGGATTTCGACTTTTATGACCAATTGTAATTAAATTTAGAATGCAAAGACTTAGTTATTTACATACATTAATTTAACTAATACTCCAACTCGATCACTAATTAGTAATTACCAACTATAATCAATAATATTGCCCGACTAAAATTATTAAATAATTGTTAATTATAAAGTTTAAAATAATTTCTACAGTCACTAAAGTGGTATTTGTATTCAATGTGTACATTGTGCACATATTAATACTAAATAATAATATATTGTGCTCTGTCGTTTTACTTGTGTGGTTGCATCGTCTTGAAAGGGACATATTTCTGCGTTGACACCGGTAACTGTATTACATGTCAATACGAAATTGTCATCGTGCGTATAGACGTTTTGCGGCAAGTCACTGGCATTGGGGCTATAATGCAAGTGCAGACGAATTTGTTCGCCGGAAAATATAGTGCCAAATGCACTCGGATGTACGGAAACTCTCTAAAAAATTTTTGAAACGATTTAAATGTTGCTCGCCGTTTTTGTAGTTTTTTTTTTTTGTTAACGTTTAATACATAATTACTTCTGGTAGTTTCAAGAATCCATATTCCATCTTGGTTCTTGAATGGTTAGCTAACATGACACTCCGAACGACGGTTTCCATCGTGTTGACGGTACCGAAATCCAACGTGTCGGGTGTTAGTTTCAGACCGAACGGCGTGGTCACCACTGCCAAGACGCGTACCTCGTGAAATTTTTTACAGTTTGACGAATAAACTCGAACCGGGAAATTCAGTACACCGCTTTTTGCGTCAAAATACGTTTTACATTCGTCTGGAAGCAACACTTCGTACCTTAAAATGATTGTATTTGCCGACGTTGTAAGTATAACGACACGTGTGTCATGTTTATAATAAATTATAATGATATTGAATATTATATAGGCACTTAAAACGCAGCCGAATGAAAACTTCCAGCGAAGACTCAGCTCTGAGGTATCCCTTTGAATGGCTGAGCTTTGCGTGTTTGAGCAGCTCCCGCGGTAGTCTAATTTCGTACGGCACTACCACCCTGCTAGTGTTGCGTAACTGAAAGTTCACCATCTGCGTGGAACTTGTTAAATAACATAGCCCAGCATCGATTACACTGGGATTTACGAGGATTTTTTGATCCTCGACCTTTCCAATAACGTATACCTTCTAAAATGGGAACGAGAAAAAACTATAATCTTACATGCAACATCGTCTGTATAATGTACGCGGTACGTCTAATTTCGAGACGGCGCTTAACGTCAAGTTATAACATAATCCAAAGTGGCAACATTTATCGAGGGTTATTAAATTTATCCTATTAGGTACCTGATTCGGAATTGTATACTCTGAATTATCAAATACTATTAAGTAACTTTCAGTGATGGACGAATGGGCCAAATTTCTGTTAAATATAAGTGGAACTTTTACGGAGCTTTTTGCTGGTAATAGCACATTAATATGTTGTCTCCACATAAAATAACTGAACATTTTATTAATAACATAATCGATAATGGCCCTAGATTTTATTTCGTTATCCTCCGTTTCCGTTTCATTTAAGTCATAACTTGATGAGTAACCTGAATAAAAAAAATAATTTAAAACCCTAAATAAGTCAGGTACTATACAACGATAATATGATAATGAAATTGTTTGAAGAGCCAATTTAAATAATGATCAATATCAATATTTATTGACGACACTAAATATTATGTGTAATTCTACTATTTTTTTTTTCAATAATAAGTTTTAACTAAATATTATTTTAATCATTAAATTTTAATGACGTTAATATTGAGTATCACAATAAATCGTTTAAAAAAATATTATAATTAATATTATTATTATAATCATTGTTATAATGTTAAATATATTCACTGGAGTTCTGTTTTTTTTTATACTCTGTCTCTGTAAGCACGCTAAAAACACAATCGGCATAACCGTTATTTTTCATGATTAAATATTGTTTAGAGTTATAATTTTCACTTGAGTTACATACAACCGGGAAACTGAAACGATTTCAGATATTCAAATAGTAAATTCAGTTTGTAATTGAATATTATTGTGACGTATCGATGACTTGTGTATAATATAGACAATATTTTCGTACGTTATCGTTTTGGTAACCAGTTCCGGTTCCGGTTTAATCATGCAAAACTTAACTGGAATATTCAACACGTATTTTAAATCCGGTCGATTTTTTGTCACAGTTTTAAACACTAATTTTATTCCATATAAACTCAGATAGGTTTTGAAATCGGGCAATACCGTTGGTTTAAATGTCACTGAGTAAACGATCGTTGTAGCGGGCTGCACACGACACCAAGTGATTGGCATTACCTAACCGATGAATAAACAATTTAATTTTCCTTGTTTCAACAGCATTAAAGATTATATTATACTTTTATGGTATTCATGTCATCTTGAAGTACCGAGTTTGGATCAAATAAATGGCTATAGAGACACAATATGGTGGTTTTACTACGGTTAGTAACTTTTATCTGTTTTTCCAAAATACTAGCTTCCTTTATATCGTTTGAGTATGTTCTCATTACCTTAAATCATTTAAAATACAGTAAATAAATACGTTTTTAATTTAAAAACATGTTTATGTTATTTAATATGTATAACTAACCCTAAATTTGACGATATTTGGAGTGAATGTTAATCTAGATTCTGTATTTGAAACCGTCTCAAAAACATGCTCGTTCATAGAACAGTCATCCGTAATTTTCGTATCGTCATCTATGCACTTTAAAACGGATTCCGTCTAAACATAGGTACATATTTTTAAATTTTATTTAAAACATAATTCTAAACAATTATAAAAAGTGTATAGATTATGTTATATTTTCAATATTGTTTTCTATTTATATTATTGTCTCACTGGATTTGAACGACATTTTTCGGCAAATTCGTCGTTTGTATCGATGTACGTGTAAAAAGCTTTTTCTTCAAGCTCGTTATTAGTATGATCTTCGGCTATATTCAAACTTTCTACCATATCGTCACCAAGCCGACTTTTTTCCAGTATCAACTCGTCTTGGATATTTTTTAAATTCAATTCAAGCGCTTCTATTTTGGTATTAAGGGATATACTTTGTATATCATCGCTACTAAAGTAAATATTATGAATAAGTGTTGAAACCTCAAGTATATACTCGTATATTAAATGCGTTTAAAACAATAAAGAAACATACTAAATAGAGCTTTTGTCGTGATATAGTTGGTCGTTTTTTAATTTTTTAAGTTCATCTAATTTTTCAACGTGCGTTTTTTCAGAGGGATTCTGAAAAATAAAATTTATTTATATAATACATTATGTTAAAATTAGAACAAAGCTCTGAAGTCTGCAATAAAATGTACTTTGATCATTTCGGCGCCACGCGTAATTGTCTCGTTATATCTTTTAATATTTTCGAATTTCCTATCACGTTCCGTACGAATCTTTGCAGCTCTCTCTTGTTTCGACCATTTTGTCAATGGATATTCATGCCGAACGCGTTTTTTCGTGAACGATTCACAGTCATCAATCGTTTTGTTATTTTTCACGATGTCTGTTACGTTTTTCTGTAACGTTTGATCGATCGATTTTGAATTGATTGCTTTCAAAGATAATGATAAGTTTTTCTCGTTATGGATGCTTAATTGTTCAATTTCTACTGTAGAGGAATAATTTATTGAAGCTAACGACTGAAAAGGCTTTTTTAAATTTAACGATTCGGACATTATTAAAACCTTTTGATTTAGCAAAATTAATGTTGCTATATGAAGTCAAAACCTGGGATCACAAGATTAATTTTTCCACTATTTATTATTATGTGACTACCATTACCTAAATACATACAGAGACAGTACGGTAATACACGAAGCATTAAGATAATATTCGTCAAATGTATTATAGTGGTGTTCGTACATAAATTATTATACACTTTATATACAGTTGCTTAGCAATACAAAACATCACTATCAAAAATCACCGTATAATAGGTAATAAGTTAATGACACCTAATACTTAATAAGTATAAGTCCCATTGAGCAATACCATGTTACATTGATGATAAAACAATATACGCTTTAACATAAATGTAACATTACAAAATTTGTTGAATATTAATTTGAAAAGTTATATTATCGTAACTGCTAATAACCAGTTACTGTTTACTTGATAGTATAATTGAATGAAATATATTCTATGAAAATATCTTTACAACGTAAATAGAAAACTTTTATACAATGTTTAATATATATGTTTATTTATATGATACATACCAAAAATGGCCATAACAAATTTTATTTACATTGACAGTTTTTGATATAATTTTTAAAATTTAAATATGTATTTATTTTAAAAGTGAATCGGCCGAAAAGAAAAGGGTACGTTTTTGGTCGAAAACAGTCATGCCCGCTACGTTATGCATACATTAAGTGCACATGATATTTGAAATTTTATAACAATTTTACTATTTGTAAGCATTTAAATATGTATAATGCATATAGTACGTAGATATTATATAGTATTAACATGTAAATAAAAATAAACACTCTTCAACGCGATTGAAAGTAATTGCTATTTGTGCAAAAAATAGAATAAAATGAATATTTATTTTATTTCGCCACAAGTATAAGCTATATCGCTGTTAAACCAACTCTACGACAACTCTTTTAAAAGTAGCTGTTGATGAGTGTAGATGATATGGTAATATCATTAAAATTGATTAAAAATATCGATATTTATTAATTATTAAATTCCGTGGCATTGTAGGACGGACGTTTTGTCTGAAATCGTATAATTAATCGTGGTAACTGAAAGTTAGGAGTTGAATGCATGCTGGGAGCCAGGAGGGATGTTTTATTATATCATTAACTCATTAACATGTTATACCGATGAAATGAAAATAAAAAATGCGGTAATATCTTTTTATATTATAGTGATATCAGTACTCATATTTTATAACATTATGTAGTCTGAATTAACTGCTAATTAATAGTTATAGACTTAAATTTGCAGAAAATATAACACGATATTATGTCATAAATAGTTGTAATACATAATTATTAATTATGTATTATTTTTGTCGTATTCGTGACTTTTTTTTTTTTTTGAATAAATAAAATATTGAAGGTCGATCATTTCTATCTAAATCGTCTGAACAAACGTTTAATTTTTGAAAGAGAAAAGATTCATTTCGTCTACAATATAAAAACACGAGAGTTGCGTTCTAAATTTCCCAGACGGTATGGCGATGCACAGTTTGACGACAGACAGGTGGTGGTGGTGGTGGTAGGTTTTTTGGCAGTTATTGAGTGTGTGCGGGTGGCATTATGTCGTCATATTGCACATATTATTTAAACATATATATATAAATGTATTTATGAATATTATTATGTATATACAGTCGAACAGTCCGACGGCAGAACAAATCGGTAGTCCGAGCCGACGGCGACGACGATTGCTGCTGCAGCAATCGAAAAAGGGACCGACCGCCGCCACCTCTGCCGTGTGTGTTTCGCGCTGCAACTGTGGTTGCGAAACAGGCTGCGCTCGTGTATCTATATATACATATATACCTATATTTTATCATATATACCTATTATATTATGTATCGTACGAAATGAATGCGCACACGTTGGTATCGGTTTCACGGACTGTTTGTGTCGGTCTCCTGACTGTCTAGCAGCGACCGACTGTGCACGATATATGTACCTATACATAATATAACCTAAACACACACACACACACACACACATGTATATGTTATGTTATACATCATATAATATATCATATTATATGTGTTTATTACGATAATAACATGACCCACAACACACACGTACGTGCGCACGTAATATAATATTGAAATTTGTTATTATATATATATATGTATTATGAATGTGGTGGTATACGGGCGCGTGAGTTTAGTATAGGAGGCAAAATGGGAAAATATTATTCTCTATATGAGCAGTGATGTTGAGCACGGGGCGGCGTGTGAGTTGGGGGAAGATTGTTGGGCGGAGAGGGCGGCGAAAATAAAACGAAATCAACAGAAATATATAATATATAAATATACATCGCA